TATTTATTTATTTTGCGGAACCAGGGATTGAACTCAGGCCTTTGCACTTGCCAGGGAAGTGCTTATTCCACTGAGCCATCTCCCTGGCCCCATATTTTTATTTTTATTTTTTTTGACAGAACCAGGGAGTGAACCCAGGCCCTTGCGCTTGCCAGGCAAGCACTTACTCTATTGAGCTATCTTCCCAGCCCCAGGAGAACTTTTAGATGTTTGAGCAGATGGGATGTGCGCATGGCAAGACGGCATGGTGGCATACGTGGGCACGGGAGACACCGGAGGAAGCTCCTCGCCCCGTCTGTCACGCACAGCTCTGGCGTGATCTCTAAAAGATCCCTTCCCCACTTGGGCCCTGTCTCCGCAGCTGGCTAATGAATTAGCTGGGATCACAACCAATGTGAACGTTTTGAGGAGCAGGCAGTGGGCTGAGTTGCTATGGGATCAGGATTTTACCTGTCAGGAGCTACAGGTAAACACCTAATAACCTTTAGGCTGTTAGCTGAGTGAAACTGAAAAGATGCCATCTCTCCAAAGCATGTCAGAATAGCCTTGTCAAAGTCAATTTATAAAATGTAAATAATTTGTACTCTTGGACACCAGACTGTGCGCCTGGTATTCTCCGCTGGTTAGGCCGGGGTCCCACTTTGCGTAGTGTGATCTGGCACCCTAAGTTGTGTGTGCCATCGTTCTGAGTTGCCCTCACCCCACAAGAATGTTAGCTTTCTGCAAGGCAGACTTTCCTATTTGCTGAAGCAGGTGCTTCACATTTGCTTCAGCGAGTGAAACAAATTTATGAACATATATAGGTCTATGTAATTTTAAGGTTCAGATAATAACACGAATAGATACTCCTGGTTTTGCCAATTTTGGGGTGAGGAAGCTGAGGCTGGTTTTAAAGTGGAGCAGTCTGCTCCGGCACCCGTGTGCCACCCCTGTGGCGTGCTGCCTGTCTCGGACTTGGCATCTTTGGGACTTGGTCAGGATGGTAAATGTTTCTCAAGACACACTTATTTTTCCCACCAAAGAGGCAGAATCCTCATGTGTGGGGCACACACACTATATCAATTATTACACTACCACAAAGGTAACACTTTAGAGGTACATAGATTCAGCCTGAACAGGAATATGTCATTTGGTGAAAACAAAAGTGATGCTGAAAGGAAGAAGGGAGAGGGAGAGGGAGAGGGAGAGGGAGAGAGAGAGAGAGAAACAGCCAGACACACACACAGAGACAGAGACAGGACAGAGAGAGACAATGAGAGAGAGAGACAGACAGAGAGAAACAGAAACAGAGACATAGATAGAGATACAGAAAACCACATAGCCATGCGAGCTAGCCAAGCAGTGTGCTGTGTGGCCTCAGACGCCATGCCTGGCCTTAGCCGGTCACGGAGGATCGTGTAGCAGAGCTTTATGTACACATTTGTGCTTTCGCTTACCATTTCTCCATGCTTCTCATGTCTCCCTTATGACCCTCTTTCTTCTTCCTGAAGCACATTCTTCTAACAGGGCTTATTTAGAGTTCAGGAAACCACATTTAAAAATGTAGCCTCCCGCATGGCCTGAGCTACCAGAGGAGGTCAGGCCAACCCCGAGGGCAATGCGGGTCAGGAGCAAAGAAGGGAGCAGGCACTGGGAGGTGAGGGAGAGACCAAGTGCCCGCGGAGGAGGCACTGAACGCGTGCGCTGCCAGGGGCCTGGAAGCAGCTCCCAAGGCCCATGAGCCAGTGGGCGCCAGGAGGCAGCCAGGTGTCCGGGTCTCCTGGGTGCTGAGGGTCAGGAAGGAGACCTGCACTTCTCCTTGCAGGAGGAGACGGACAGCAGAGGGCCATTCTGTGCCATCCGCCAGGCTAGATCAGCTTCAAATCCTTCAGTAAAGCTTGCATAGCTTGATGGAGTCAACACCAGCAGAGAAATCAGGTTTTCCTCTCTAAAATGCCAATAATAGCTCCTGTTGCCAGGTTAGGACTAACTGATAAGGATTAATAGATGCTGCAGCTTCGTGTCTTCCATACTGTCTGACGCTCACTGAGTCCTCGTTACACATCATCACCATCATTATTATCATTATTGCCATGTTATTGGGAGTCAGATCAGGGGTCAGTCTTAGATGGTCCCTGTACATCTTTATAGGTGATGTGAACGAAATCAGCTTAGATCGCCAGCCTGACCATGCAAGCTTCCTAGAGCTGGAGAGAGTTGACTTCTAACGTCCACAAACTCAGCTCTTTCACACAGAAAGGAGGAAGTTACTCACAGAATGATGGGCCCAGAAGCTCCCTGGAAAACGCCACTGGGCAATTCTTCTAAATTACCATTATCACTTAGGTTCCTGGGGATGGGGTTGTGGAAAGAAGAAGAGAAGCACAAAGCCACATAAATACTTCTGTTGTAAGACCATTTGCCTCTAAATGGCCTGGAAGAACAGTCGGGGCTACTTACAGCTCATCTAGCTGGGTTCCGTTGAATGCACAGTTGTGTACTTCTTGAATCCCATTCTTATTCAGCCACCTGAAACGAATAGGCCATTAAAAAACCAATAATGTCAGATGCAGACAATACAGGGGCTTCATAATTGGAAGCACTGGGGCCGGGTCACACGCACACATGCATGGGGTAAGGAAAACACCATCCTTGAAGCTTGGGGACAGTGGTGGGGGAGACTAACTGGTCACTGGATGACCCTTTGTAACCTTTGACCTTTGTAGTATGCCGTGCGCTATCTACTGAACTGATAGATGAGGTTTATGGTAAGAGGAATAAATAAGATTTCATTTAAAAAGACTCGTGTAGGCGGCAGTATGAGGCACAGGCTGGAAGGTTTCCGCACGCACCCTCGCACACGTAGTGAAGATGCTATGGGAGGAGCAGCAGAAGATCTTTCCTGTCCTATAGAACAGAATCGCACACTTGCTGAAGCTGTGTTTCTAAAACAGAGAAAGAGCACTGCATGCTACCTGTTCTGTGGCCTTAAGCCTTTCACCCCTGCTGTCCCACAGCAGCAACCTGGCTGTCATCAGAAAGTGATCTAATTAGGTTGTTAGACAGCCCGAGCGTTTCCTGTGACCTGCGGGCCCGGCTACTCCAGGTTTGTGGAGGTGGTTCTGGGTTAAGCCAGAAAGGAAGAGGCATCAATTACAGGGATCGTGCAGGCTATGCGTCCCTGAGGCGGTGAGTGGGCATGGGGAGGGCCTGGGAGAGCTGGGCTCCCGGGAGGGGGGCGGCTTGCTCACACAGCGGCACCCTAGGCTGCTTGGGCCAATGGCTCTACCTTGTTCTGCTTCTGAGTGGATCCAAAGTGGACACGGACACCAAGGGCAGCGGGGCTTAGCGAGAGCGACCCCGGGCACTGCTCTTGTGTTGCTGTCAGGAGTTTTTCCCTGGCAGGCAGGGTGGGGGTCTGCAAGCGACACTGTTTGAAACTGACCCAGAGCCGCTTCTGCGTAATGATGTTGTTGGCACTCGCCTGAACTACTCAGGAAGCTAGAAATCGCTTGAAATCCCAGGAGAACAAATGTATGTCTTTCTTTTCTCCCTCTGAAGCCCAGTGAGCTAAGAAAAATCCAGAGAGGAGTGAGATAAATCTTTTTCAAAGCAGTGACCACTTAGCTGTGCATTGCCACCCGCCCCCGGGACACCCGTCTGGGATGACGCTTGGCCTCAGGTTACTCCGCCCCAGGCTGGTGAGAGCTTTGGGGGCAACTGCCTCTGGCCTGGGGGATGCACAGCCCTGGGAGTCTAGAGTCAAACCCAGGGGCCAGCCAAACTTTTCTATATGGGGCCAGATAGTAAACTGTAGGTTTTCTGGGCCAGGAGGCACGATTAATTCTTATAAAACAAATTTTGCAGCATTTATGTTGACCAAATGCAAAACACAATAATAATTGAGCCCAACATTTTTTTAACTTTGTAATATAGTTCTGTTATTGAAAATAGTAGCATTTCACTTTATTTAGGTTCAATTCCAGAATGTTCAGCTGTAAAAGCTAATCGGTCCAAGCCTGGGCGCTGGGTTTGGCCTGTGACCTGCACTTGCTTGGCTATTAATTTCCAACTACAGGTTTACAGATGTATGTGGGCTCCATCTGTTTTTCTTCAGACTGCATGCTGGATCTTTCCTGCACATATATGTCCTGTGAGCAGATATGGCTGTGATTAAGTAAGCTGCAGACTGAGTGGAAGGGCTCCTGTCAGTCTCTGTTAGAGCCACCGCTTGTCTTGGTGCATACGACCAGCAGCAGACGCTGTCGTGCAGCGAGAAGGACCGTGTTCCCTTGTGGACACCACTCCAAAACCAAGTCATGTTCGAACGCCTGCCTCTGGGGAGACTTCAGGCCGCAGGGCCTAGTTTTAAAACCCGAAGGTGGTGTTGAGGACAGCGTGAGCCCGGGCAGAGCCTCGGCCGGCCGAGGCACAACTGTAGCAGGGTCCAGGAGACCTGAGGACTCCCTGTCCCTGGGGACAAGGCCACGACTCCCCTGAAGGAGCTCCTCCTCCTAAAGGATGGGTGCAAGGACCTGGCCCATTAAACCCCTGAGCCCAGCAAGGGGGATGGCAGCCACGCTGGAGGGGAGGGCGGCCTGCAAGGTGCTGAGCTGTGACCCCTGTAGCCCTGTGACCTCGGGAACATCTCCTGACTAAGCTCACTTGTATGGCTGGCTGGAGCTTCCTGCTGCTCCACCCAGCCCCTCTGCTTGCTGGGCGCTGGGGGGCTCAGAGGCCTCTGCCTAAGGGGACTTAGGCTCCCATCCTTGGGTCCCTACCCAAGCGGCCGTCCTTCAGTGTCGGACTGTTTCAAAAATAGAAACATGTTTATATTTAATTTCAGAATAGGTCTCAGGTTTTCAAAATCTACTCCTGGATAGAAAGCTTTTCCAGTCCTCCTGATATTTCACAAGTCTTTTCTCCCTGAGTGCTCTTGGCGGTCCCTGCGGGGGAAGCAGCCGCCCACGCCAGGAACTGCTGGAGATGGGGCTGTGCTGAGTGTGACAATCTTCATTCTGTTATCTACGGATTAAGGGACTGCCAAGGTAAGTAAAATAGGTGTCATCCTCACAAGTGTGGCTCTGTCCTTTAGAAATACATCCTAAAAGTATTGACTCTTAAAAACAAACCGTCCTCTCTTGAAAAGCAAGCTCCTAACTTCTGTAGAGTCAGCGAAGAGCAGACAGCACATGGACACTTTTTGTAGCATTCAGTTAAATATACTCAGTCAAGTCTATATATATATATATATATATATATATATATTGAGAAATGACACACACACACACACACACACACACACACACAAAACAGCCCGCACTTGGAAAAGGAAAAGACAAAATGCTTTTCTTACAGATATAATTGAAATTACTGCCTCCCCAAATAGCATGCTGTGAGTCCAGCTTCCATGGGCCGTTGGGACATCCAGGTCCCCGCAGTACCTGCTTCATGGCTGTCCTGCCTGGAGGGCGGGCAAACTAAGTTGACTGGTACAGAAGATTACGTTGTTCATTAAGAAAGCAGAACGCATTTAAAAACTTTCCCAGAAGTCGGAGTAACTCAAGCTCATTTAAAAACTGATCATGGTAAGAACATGAGAAGTTGTCTTACGCTCAGCGTGGGTCTGAGGAGGAGCAGCTCCAGTGCTGAGGGACAGCATCCTGGGGGACAGCCGAGCTGCTGGACTCTGCCTCCTTCCTGCCAGTTCTGGCAGCAACTGGCTGACTGCCTTCCTTTCTTTCTTTCTTTCTTTCTTTCTTTCTTTCTTTCTTTCTTTCTTTCTTTCTTTCTTTCTTTCTCTTTCTTTCTCTTTCTCTTTCTTTCTTTTTTTCTTTCTTTCTCATTAATTTTATTGAGAAACAAATAGCAATGAGACAGTTTCAAAACCAATTAGTAGGACAGTTCCAATAATTAATACATTACATATTGTTGTCTTTGTAGTGGTTATTCATAGTACAAGATGCAGATGTGATCTCCTTTCCAAACACTATTAGTAAAAATCTTTCTTCTCACTGAATTAAGAGAAAGTAGCTGTATATTTATCCTATTTTGTATATACAATACAAAATGGTCCTTCATTTGTATCCCTTCATTTGGTTTAGTTTTGTCCGAGATGGGTATTCCATTGCCATTTAAATATGGTAGGTGAGTGAATTCAGCAAAATAATCCAATATAGTCCTCTAGTCCATAATAGTAGTGGGTTATCCACAGGACTGGCAGTGTCAGAAGTTGTTGACTTGAGCCTTTTACAGCTCAGCATATTAATATGGCTTTACTTTTTATACCTTGTTATTATACTTTTCTGCTGGATGGTTAAGACCAAGATAAAGCAAGACCTATATAACAGGAAATGTCACTTTTGTATGTGACAAGGTCAGTCAAATCCCTTCAGGATTTACCCTGAAACCCTTTCGTGATGCGTGAATCATCCTGTCCTTTGGAACAGACGTGAGATGGCAGGAGACCGTTGTTCCAGGAACAACTGGAGGTTCCTGGAGCACACTACAATGGAAGCTACTAGCACAGCTCCGGGTTGTGATTCTGAAAGGCAAAGATGAGGAGAAAACACAGAAGCAGAAGGCCTTTAAATGGGGAGAGGCCAGCACTGACTGGACAGCACAGGGGTGCCCTGTGAGGAGAAGGGTGTCATTAAGCAAAAACTCAATGTTACCCTGCTGGATTCCCCCCTCACTTACAGAATCACACTTTCAAGACTCAGCCCCAGGAATGAGTTTCCTTCAACCGTGTGGATGTTTATGTTGTCCTGAATGTCTCTAGAAGAAAGTACATACACGTTAGGCATTTGCGTTTGCTCCTGTAACTGTTCCACCTTTGGTTACTGGATGTGACGGGACTTAGCTGAGGTGATAGCTTCATACGGCTTTTGTTCAGAGGCTAGGGAGCTCACGGTTTGGGAAACAAACTCGTTTTAGTGAGTTCTTAGAGCTGGAGCTATGGGCAAGCAGTGTCTTCTCTCTCCGCGGGTTTCTTAGCAGGTACCTCCACTTTAAGGCTCTCCTTAACATGGCTGTTTGCTGCCTTTGTTTGCACATTAGGCCTCTACAGGACATGACAGATGCTAAGACTCTCGCCTCCGTGCTGCCTTTCCTGTTCTTCTCAGTCAAGCCTTCTTTCTGCTGTCTCACTCCCACCTCATAGCTCTTTTCCTCCTATTTTCTTAGGCTACAAATGATTTTATTGTTGACTTTTCTCTTCCTGAGTTAAAGCATAGGGGAAGTCTTATCTGTCTATGTTCCTTGTCCTTCCAGCAAACTCCCCTGTGAGGGTGAATGGAAGATATAAATGCAGGATAAGTAAGTATCTGGAAACAATTTGAGAATTCTAGAGCGCTCTCTCTCTCTCTCTCTCTCTCTCTCTCTCTCTCTCTCTCTCTCTCTCTCTCTCTCTCTCTCCCCCTTTTCTCCTTCTTCTCTCCTTTCTCTCTCTCTGGGCCTGCCTATATTTTTATAATTTCACTGTTGGAAATAAAATTGCCGTTGCACGTTGCCTTTTCTCCTCCACCTCATGTTAAATTTTGGGCACGTAGGGAGGAGGCGGCACAGTGTGCTGCTGATGCTTCAGTATGAATTTTTCAGATAATCTCTTGAAGCTTAGGGCAGCATGACAACTCGGGTGGGGGTTGGAAGGATGATGGGATATGGGGAAGTTGCAGGGGGTCAGTAACAAAGCATTATTTAGTAAGGAACAAGAGATCAAGGGGCAACTGATTTTGCTACAAGCTTGTTTCACCAGTAAACCTTGTTGAGGAGGTTGTTGATTTTCTCCAGACTGAGACCGGCTGCCTGCATTTCAAACTAGGGCCTTGCTGCTTGCATTCCTGCTCTGCTCATCTGGGGAACTCGGAGGATACAGCTGCCTACTGGCTGTCAGGGCCCCACAGGCTGTCGGGCAGGATGGTACTGGGGAGAGCTGGTGGCTGCTTGCTAAAGTTTGGGGCCCGAGTGACCCTGAAAGCCCTTCTGTTAAGAGCTTGGTCCCCAGAATGGTGCAGCTGGGAAGCGATCGAAGCCTTACAAGGTGGGGCTGTGTGAGGCTGGGGTCCCTGGGGGATGACTCTGAAGGGGACCGTGGTGCCCTGCCTCTTCCTCGTTTCCTCTCATTTCCTGCAGGTGAGGTGAGCAGCCTTGCCCTGCTGTGTTCTCTGGCTGTGATGCGTGTGCACAGTGCCAAGTGGTGGGGCTGGGCAATCACGGCCTGAACCCTCTAAAACTTGAGTGAAAATAACCCTTTTCTCTTTATACTAGTTTTTTCAACCCTACCTTGATAATGAAAGAAAGTGGACGGATGTGCTGCTCAATGAGAAACTTACAGCAAAACCTTTTGAAGAGATTGAATCTTGTGAACAGCTGGCAAGTGCTTAATGCCTGTGTTGGATATCAACCTAGAGAGGGACAAAATGAGAGTGAGAAGGCGCGAAGCTGCCGTGCAAACAGTGGTTAGAGCAGGAACTTCCTGCATTCCTAACCCCAACTTGGAGATAGCAGAAAACTCTACCAGCTCATCCCAAATCTGAATTATGCTGAACATTCCAACCAGGTGCTGGTAAGCAACAGAGGTCTAAGAGCAAAGAAACTCAAACTTCAGGCACAAAGTAGACAGTCCACCACAGCCCGTGCATTTACCCTAAAGATCAATGAATGAACAGGATCTAAGACTACCTTCCAACAGGATGATGAAATCCTCCCAAATTATTCTCCATTTCCAACCTCAGCGTGCTTGTTAGAAACCACCCCTTCCCCAGTCCAGGTCATTCTGCTGACATTTGAGCATGAAATTCCATGCCCTTGAGCTCCGAGGAGGCATATAGCCCAAGCTGAGCTGGGGAGGGTCTCCAGGGACGTGGCTGGAGGTTGGTTAGAACTGAGTCATCTTCTGAGTCATCTGCTAGCGATGTGGTCCTCACATTCCTACACCCAGCCCTTCCATCCCTACCTGAGCCTTCCAAGGCCTGGCTTGGCTTACTGGGGAAGCAGACCCCGAGAGCCTGGCATGAAGCTTCTGCTGTGGGAGTATACTTCTGGTAAGATGAGTTCAGGGCTTCCAGGACAGGAAGCATGCAACAGCACGGAGGAAGGCTAATCAATAGCAGGATGAATGACCGAGCTGGCTACCAGATTTAGGAGATTTGCAAAGCATATGTCAGAACTGTCGATCTGAGCAGAAAAGAGTGAAGGGAATGACTTATTCAGGCTCCTATTTCTTTCTGGTCAAAGGTGACACTGCAGTACTGATGCTCCGCTGCTAGCCTGGAGATTTGTGAATACCTGCTGGATTCCCGATGGCCGTCTCTCACTGTGGAGTCAAAGCAGGCCCAGTGCAGGGCGAAGAGTGTATAAAGCCAGATGGGGTATTTTCTAGTGCACTTACATTCAGCTGAGTGAAATTTAGATGGAAGGAGCTGCCACGACAGAGGTGAAGGTTCTCAAGTAGCTCGCAACGCATGGCTCTGCACCACTTCTTTCACTTCTACGAGTTTCTGTAACCCTACTGGCATCTCTACTCCCATTGCCTTCCTTGGTGTCTGACCTCCGTAGGCCTGAGTTGATATGGGTGCTTGAAACCTAGAAAACCTCAATGATGCTGCCATCATTGTCAAGGACGTTGAGTCTCTTTGGCTGTACCCTTTTGGTGCCTTTGAGTCTAGAGCATCAGGAAATGTGCTCACGGCTTCTCGAGTGCTTCTCAGATGTTTTGTTTCTGCGTGGCTCCCAAATGATCCACATGTGATTCTCTTGCTCAGCTCTTCTTTGTATTTCTATAGGAGGCCCTGAGATGATCTCCTGCTTTTTATGGAGCAAAGCATCATTATTATTTTATTGGTGCTGTTGTTCTTGAGGTAGGGTCTCACTGTATAGTCTAGGCTAAACTCAGACTCATAGTTGAGCTTAGGCTGACCTCAACATGTGAAGCTCTGGCTTTAGTCTCCAGAATGCTGGACAACAGGCATGTACCAACATACCAGCCGGAAGGGAATTATTAATTACTCTTTGGAAGGATTTGTTATGCTTTTATTCCTCTTTGAAAAATTCACATGCATAAAATTCAACTTTTTTGGGCCAAGGTCTGTGAGGACAAATGTATGTAATCATGTGACCCCCACCACACTCCAGATGCAGGACAGTGCCACCACCGCCAAAATTGGCTTCTGTTTCTCCTTTGCAGTTAGCCTCTTCCTGGCCCTTCTGTTTTAGGGCTACTGATCAAATTTCCAAAATGTCAAATCAAGGGAATCATCTAGTGTGTAAGTTTAGAGTCTGGGCTTCTTTTCACTTAGAATAATTCATTCTTATTCTTCTACGCTGTTGTATGTATAAGCACTTCAGTGTTTTCCATTGCCAAGCAGTATTCTGTACTATGAATGTTCCACGGTTTGTTTATTTATTCACAGGTTGGAGAGTGTCTGGCTTATTTCTAGTTTTTGTGGAAAATCCATGTGTTAGATGTATATGTGTTAGATATACATCTCACTAAATAGTATATGTATATTTTTTTCTTTAAACATTTGTGTGCAGTTTTTGATGTATGAGAAGGTAGGCTTTTTTTTTTTTTCCCTTGGGTAAATATGTAGGAGTGGGAATGATGTTGGGTCTTATGGTAAGTGTATGCTTAACCTGAAAACAGCTTGGAAGTTTTTTTACAAAGTGGTTGTACCATTTTGCATTCCCACAAGCAATGCATTCAGTTCTGTACTTTTGCTTTAAAATATATATTCTTCATATGTAATATATGCTTACTGTGGGATTTATGAAAATTTGGAAACACCTACACAAGGCAGCAGAGATCGCCTGTAGTCTTATTACCCAGACAACTTCTGTTAACATTTGGAGATTGAAGTGTTTGCCAAAATAGTTTCAGGATTACTGTAATAACCCCTGAGATTGAACTCTACCAGAAACCCCTCCATAACTTTAAACACCCTGTGTTTCAAGTACCATTCCACATCCGTTATTTAATCATATCTGGCCTTCTACTATTTTTAGATCTCTTCCCCTGTACTCCTGCAGTATGCCCTTAATGAAACATCAAACCAGGGGCCATTTTCATATTTTCTGACAATCCTTTTCTACTGTGTAGCTTTTGAATGCTTGTAAAACACTGGCTTAATTGGTTGATGTTTCTTACTTCTGTCACCAAGAGTGTATCAAAACCAAGATTAGTTAATATGCTTGTCAGGTATCACTATTATTGGAGGTCTAGAGGCCAGGAATCAGTAGAACCTGCTGACAACTAGGACACAAACTTGAGATATCATTTCATCTCTCCAGATAGGCTGTGGACTGTCACTGTCAAGGTAGACATTACAATCCATGTCCCTGTACTCTGCTTCGCGACCCTTGGTCCCACTTTTCCTTGACTTGTTACCATGGCAACAAGCTACCATCCAGTTTGGCTTGGCACACACTTGCTCAGCTATCTGGGTACCTTTTGTTTTCTGTTGTGGGCCTCTTTACCACCTTGAAGTGAGGAACGTACCGTTTAAGCGGTGTGAGACCTTTGTACATCTGGACACGCTGGTGAGTTCACACCTCAAAGAAGCTCTTGGCTAGTGGTGAGCTTACTCCTTGGCTGGACAATTCTGGGTATATTCTACATGGTACCTTAGAGGGCTTTAGCCTGACTGAGCCCCAGTTATGCAGTGCTGGTCCCTTTGATAACACAGCCTTTTAATTTTCTTTGTATTTATAAAGAGAATAAAAATAGTAAAAGAATCATTAGAAATGACACAGAGGGCTGGCCAGCTAGCTCAGTGGACTAAAGAAGCTGCTTAGGCAGAGCACCATGGCTGGGATTTGATCCCTGGTGTGCCATGCCAGCCCTAACCCTGGGGCGCCCTGAGACATCCATTGAGACTGGGCGTGGTGGTGCACATCTGTAATCCCAGCTCTTGGGAGGCTGAAACAGGAGAATCACTGAGTCTGATCGACATAGTGAGAACTTGTAGACCCTGTAGCAAATACATTAAAAAAATGACACAGAATTTCGCTGAACAAAGTGACAGGAATTCAATAATGGCTGTTATATTGCATATTGTTGTTTTCAAATTAGTTGTTCAGGTCACCAGCTATAAGCATGCAAAGTTATTAAAAAAATAAAAAAAGAGAAAAAGTTAAGCATGCACATACACAAGATAGCTTGGATAATTGCATTGCTGATTCTTACTGGTCTATCAAAAGGAGCAGATAGTACAGTCTTGAATCATCTTTCCCTCTTACACTTTTGTTTTCCTAGTCAGTCATCCAAACTCTTGGCTTTGGATGTGTCATAAGTGAACTACTGACATGGAAGTCCTTGCTCGGACAGTTTTTTTAGCCTAAGGGAGCTTAGTATAGGACAGGTGCTGACTTGAGCTGGATTTGACATTTTGCCTGAATTCTACAGTGGTTATGGTCTTCCTTTACCTCGGGTCTGTGTTCAATTGCATCCCATTCCTATTTTTCTTTTTCCCTTAAGAGCAGGCTTTTAAAAGAGTTGTCTGCACTTGTGATCTTCACTTTCTCTTATCTTATCTTCAACCTACTCCAATTTACTTTTCAGCCTCACTAGAATATTTACTGTCATGCCAAAGATCCGCAGCCGCTGCTTGCCAAATCAAACATTAAAATCCTCATCATGTGGGTGACCTAGCACCCCTTACCAGCCTCTCTCTCCTCTTAGTAGCTTTAGGGCGGTGCTCTTCTTTGACTACTGCTTCTCTGCTACAGTGGTACGTTGGTTCATGAACTGAATTCATTCCACAATTCTGGAAAAGATGGCCACGTGTGTGCTCACGCAGGAAGGACAGCTGGGGTTGTGTTTTTCACCCAGTGCAGAATTCACAAACAAAAACAAAATTTTGTCAAACATTTCTGTCTGTGGACTGAATTGTTAGCAAACAGAAGTATTCATGAACCAGGGCACCACTACACATTACTTCTTTTTTATTTTTTATTTATTTTATTTTATTTTTTAACTTTCCTTCCTCTATTGTACCCAGGGCTTTTGCCTTTTTCTTCACTGTCTTGTCCAGGTAGGCAGGTCTTGTTTCCAGTGGCTTTAAGCAATAAGAATTTAGCTACTGCTGTGTTCGTGTTAGCATCCTGTCCGTCCCGAAAAGCTTGCCTCACGTGTCCCTCCTCCTGGTGCTGCGTCAACGCAGCCAGCTGGGCGTGTGCTGCGAGTCGGCTCCACCGGCCGCTGCTCCTCCAGTCTTCTCCATAGGCGCTGCTACCACTCATTAATTGTTTGAAACGCGATGCATGTGGCCCTTCCTCGGGGCTCCCCGGTGCTCAGGCCCCCTCAGTGCCTGCCCAGATCCCACGTCCACATCTACCTTGGCTCTGTGCAGCGCTGCCCATCTCTGGCCACACCATTCTAGAACAAAATGATACTGTTCTTGTGGGT